TGACCTGACTGCAACAACAACAAAAGTTTAAAAAAAAAAAACAAATGAAGTCTAGCAATAGCAATACACAGGGTGCTTGAAAGGAATGAAAAGCCAATATAGAATTGATGTCTTGTATCATGACAAGCTGAAAGCTATTCTGAGGGGATCTGCACACCTTTGAGCTGAATGGTTCTATTATCAGTGATACTAATATATAGAGTAACTAGCCTGCTGACCATTACTTGAAGAAAAAGTACTTACATTCACAAAATTTAATAAAATTACTGACACTAGGCCAAACCTAACTCTGCATTTTTTTTATAGACATCCCTTAAATTCAAATGCTCAAAATTATCTAATAAAAGTCTTTTAAACTCCTCATGCATACAAACACTAACTACCCTAATTTTCTTCTTGAAAGTTTACTTCAAGATTAAAATAATCTACAGACATGCCACTGAAAAAACATAAGTGATACCTATGACATTAACAACATTTGTCTAAGTGCAATTACAGGATATCTACATAGCTAAGGACGGTGGAAGTAGGTAACTCAATTTTTAGGTGCAAAGCTAAAAGTAATTAAGCTAAATTTGCTCCTGTGTGTGATTACAGAGCTACTCACCTCCTTATTTTCAAACCACAATCACATTACGTTTAAGAAATAATTAATTATGTGCCAATAATTATATATGCAATATTTGGTGACATTGTTTGGAGAACCATTTAATTGGTGCATTTTATAATGTTTTCCAGTTGGTGCATAATACAAAATGTCTGCACACTAGCAAGAGCAGTCCAAGCAAGTGATTCATGCTGGCAAAACATGCAGACAAATTAAATCACCTGTGTTAACTGGCACTGTTTTTGCTTGTTACTCTGGTTAATGATTGTCAGCCTTGGCTTGATGAGTGAGTGAGTTAGTAGGAATTACCCCCAGTACCTTGACTGTTTCTTGCATCAAAGATCATTTGATTAATCAATGAATCAATGACAACATGAACAGAAAGCCCATTAATTGTGTAGCAATATACAGTAATATGGGTATACATGTCTACAAAAAATACACTCAGTATAAATTTATGTCTATGTGGTGTACACCAAGTTTGCCCTGGAGGAAAAGCAGAATTATATGAATGCTAAATAACATCCTGGGGAACATTAGATTACAGATGTATGTACATTTCAACAAGTATGAAATTAAAGAAATGGACAAGTGTTAGTTATAATGATTTAAATTTAAATTATAGACAGAAAACATGTTTGATTGATTGTTCTGACTGGGTATCAACAGGATGGTCTGAGCGTACCTAAAAAAATCATACTGTCCAGGCAATGTTGGGCACTCTGGTCACCCTACTGTGTCATGACACCATTTAGACAGCTCTGGTCACCCTACTAATGTTTCATGACACCATTTAGAAAGCTCTGGTCATCCTACTAATGTGTCATGACACCATTTAGAAAGCTCTGGTCAACCTACTAATGTGTCATGACACCATTTAGAAAGCTCTGGTCAACCTACTAATGTGTCATGACACCATTTAGAAAGCTCTGGTCACCCTACTAATGTGTCATGACACCATTTGGAAAGTTCTGGTCACCCTACTAATGTGTCATGACACCATTTAGAAAGTTCTGGTCACCCTACTAATGTGTCATGACACCATTTAGAAAGCTCTGGTCATGAAAGCTCTGGTCACACCATTTTAGAAAGCCTTCTGTGTCACCTCTACTAATGCGTCATGACACCATTTGGAAAGACCCTACTAATGTGTCTGACACCATTTTGGAAAGTCACCCTACATGAATAAAGTGTCATGACCATTTAGAAAGCTCTGGTCACCCTACTTTAGAAAGCTCTGGTCATGACACCTACTAATACTAATGTGTCATGACACCATTTAGAAAGCTCTGGTCATCCTACTAATGTGTCATGACACCATTTAGAAAGCTCTGGTCACCCTACTAATGTGTCATGACACCATTTAGAAAGCTCTGGTCACCCTACTAATGTGTCATGACACCATTTAGAAAGCTCTGTCAACCTACTAATGTGTCATGACACCATTTGGAAAGGTCACCCTACTAATGTGTCACCCTTTAGAAAGCTAATGTGTCATGACACCATTTGGAAAGTTCTGGTCACCCTACTAATGTGTCATGACACCATTTAGAAAGCTCTGGTCACCCTACTAATGTGTCATGACACTATTTGGAAAGCTCTGGTCATTGTGTCATGACACCATTTAGAAAGCTCTGGTCACCCTACTAGTGTCATGACACCATCCCACATTCATACTTTAAATCTTAAATCATGACACTATTTGGAAAGCCTGGTCAGTCTACTAATGTGTATGTTAAAAGCTTTGGTCACCCTACTAATGTGTCATGACACTATTTGGAAAAGCTTAAGAACTCACATTTACTAAATTTAAATCTACAAGATCATCTGTGTATGTTGGAGTGTTTTCTTGATTTTTTCTTATTTTGAAAAAAACTGTCCAGAAAATCATCATAAATTAACTTTTTTTCTTCTTTTTTAACTTTACAGCCATCACATAATGTTAGACATGAGATGGATCAGATAGTGTCCCCCAATTTGTCAGCTGTATCTGAGAAAACTGAGCATTTTTTTCATAACCCTGACGTCAGCCTGGTCCACGCCTTTAATGGAATCTTCTGAAACCATGACAACACTTCAAGTTCCCATTGGCTTCACAGAATACACAGACATATTTGTAAACTGAAAGCCTGTAATGGCATGAGAAAAGTCTTGAACAGTGATATCTAGTTTAAACTGTTTAAAAGAATTAAGTCAAAGGAAGAAAGAAATTAATCTTGTAAAGACAGCCGTGTAAAGCCTCTACTTACAATGGAAAAAGTAAAGATATTAAATGAAAAACCAGGAATATTTTCTTTGAGTAGCCAAAACCAAAAGTCAGAGAACTCTAAAGAAGAATATATATTTATAGTGCTACACCATATGCCATAGGGGAAAAAAAAAAAGAATTACCTGAACATAATAAGACAGATACATATTCTATCAGTTCACGGTAACTAATGTTTTCTCTAGGGAAACCATTAGTGAACCACTGATTCTGGGTTAGTGGACTTAGTCTTCCAGATGACACATCCATACCAATGATGTCTATGCCTGCAGCTTTTGCTTTTTCAAAGTCACTTGTTTTAGCAGCTTTTTCAAAGTCACTTGTTTTAGCAGCTTTTTCAGACATCAAGTCTCCAAATATAATTATTATTATTCTCTTTCTGAGTCTCTCATCATCTTTACTAACGATTTTTAAAATATTTGAAAATATATAATCAAAGAGATTAGTAGACTGATCTTCTGTAAAATTATACCTCTTTAGGTTAGTTGACAGATCTTCTGTAAAATTATACCTCTTTAGATTAGCAGACTGATCTTCTGTCAGATTATATCTGTAATGAATTCTATCTAAAGTCCAGTAAATACCCTGCCTGTTTGTAAATTTATTCAGGGCAAAATTTGTTTCTATTAAATTTCCAAAACTCACTGAAGCTATTCGCACAACTCCTTTATCAATATCTAGAGCGTGTAGAACAAACTTTTTGGTAAACTCTATAATTTTACGAAAATTTGACTCTGAAACTGCTGGTGTTTGTTGTAAAGCAAAAACGAGGTCAATGTAGGAAGGACAACCTGCAGATGTTACAAACACAGAGCATTAGAAAACAAAAAATAAATCATAGTATGAAAGTAAACAAATGATAAATTTAGTATAATTTATTCTCTAAAAACAAATAGCATATGAAAACATGATGTCGATATAATGATAGGTAACTTGTGTTAGTGCTGAGTTTATATTTCCAAAAAATAATAATTTTTTTAAATACTTTATAGTTATCACAGCAGATAGCCAAAAAAGAGGAGAATTATATACCTGAAAGCAAGGAAAAGGGTCCTTTACTTTACTTACATTATAAAATATGGACACATGGTAATTCTGGACAATTTGAGGGATGGGGTGTGGGGGGGGGGGGGGGGGGGGGGGTTAAAAAAATGTTACAAAAAAAATAAAAACACCTAACAGGTTTAAAATGTTTAGCTTTGTAGGTGCATGTCTGTTAATAATTAAATTAAGAAAGTATTTTTTTAGCTAGCACTGGAGGAAATTCAACAGCTGAGAAATAATAAACAAAAACAAAAAAAATCAATAACATCTGGCATGTTAAAGTTTGATATCCATTGCTGCAGGTAGAGTAATAGCTGTGGAATACCAAATAAAAAATTTAAAAAGTTACACTGTGGAGTTATTTTGGAATGTTAAAATTAATTTGTGCTGACAGTATTAAAATACCTGTGAATAAAGAGTAAAATTAACAATAACAACGTAGAACAACTTTTGAAATTGTATAGAATAGAATGTTATTCTTTATTAGAACATGTAAAATAGCTGTGGAATAATGTGTAAAATTAGCAACTAACTGTGAGGTAAATTTTGGAATGTTAAGTGTTATGATTCATTTTTAGATAAAGTATAGTAACTGTGGGAAAATATTAAAATTAGCAATTAACACTGGAGAAACCTTTGAAATTTCAAATAGCGTTAATCACTGGTGGAGGCAGTTTAACTGCAATAATGACTAAAATTAGCAATTAACACTGTAAAATAACAATTGAAATGTCAGACAATGTGAACAACAAACAAGGCTTAGCATCATGAATTTAAGTGAAATAGTAAACAAGGGAGACACACAAATGTATAAATTGACATGAATTATACGGCAATGATGTGTGCACAAGAGTGAGATATGTTTATATCTTTGTGTGTTGTTTTAATAGCTGAGAAAAAAATTCATTAGTATATTTACAAAAACAAAAAAAAAAAAAACATTTGTTAAAATCACTAGATGCACCGACATCCTTAAGCTTTGTTTAAAATATCAAGGAGATAACTTATCTAGAATATACAAAGATGAACAACATATATAAATAGTATAAATATACATTAAGCCTCTTCTATATGTTGAACTTTTCAACATAAAATATGATTGTCGCTGAACTCACCCACATCTGGTGGTGGCCGTCTTGTGTTTACTGCAGAAGAAATTAAACCAAATTCTGATATGTGTTTTTAATAATAAAAAAAAAAACTGTGTTCACTGAACTCTGATTCTTGTTCTCTTCCTCAGCAAAGTTTTGGTGGGAAATTTACAAACTGTCTGTGTGCTTTTTTTAATGTGCTGTGTACTTTGGCCTTATTTCTAAGGTTGAATTTGATGCTGTTGTTCATATTTTGAGCAGTATTCCCCATGCTCTATGTTCATTTTATTTATTTAATAGAGTTATCTGTGGCACCTGGGCATTAATTTCAGATGGCTACCTGATTTCATATGTTGTTGTTTAGTGAACTGTATTACTAGTTTCAACCAAAATCTTGCTGTTTTATTTTATCTCCTCTGTTAATATTATTCTTCTCATCAGTCATAGGAGTAGACCAAGAGGCACACATTAACACAGTGGATAGATAATATAATATTCATACAGATCTGTAAATGGAGTCACCAGCTTGAAACAGCAAGGGCACAGAAATCTGAAGATAAAGAGGAAGATGAGGAAGAGGCAGAGGAATAGAAGAAATAGGAGAAATGAGGAGGTGGAGATTGATAGACATACACAAAAAAACTAGATATTCCAGTATAATCCAGAAGGGTTGAATGCGATATTGTTGATCAAATTACTACTACTATTTGGTAGATAAGTCAAATATACATAATTAAATGTGGACATCTGAATTTTCTCTTGTCACTGGATTATCATAAGAGATAAGATCAGGAATGAGATCATAAGAGAAAAAGTCGGCACAGAACCAATTCTGGATTACATACGAAGACAGCAATTGAAATGGTTTGCCCACTTAGAGAGAATGCCTTGTGACACCATACCATACAAAGCATACATGGAAAGAGAAGGAGGTAGACCAAGAACAAGATGGAAGGATAACATCAGAGAAACTCTACAACAGCACGATGTGCCTATGGTCGAGGCAGCCAGAAGAGCTAGAGACAGAACCTTATATCTCCCTCGACACCCACAGCAGTAAAAGAGGAAGTGAAGAAGAAGAAGAAGATTGGATTATGCTGAATGTGCACAAAATTAATCTCTCCAGTCCTTGGGATCATATTGTATGTAGTTAAAATTATTATTTGTGAGTAGACATATTTCCTTTAAAAACAAATTAAAAATACCTGGTGAAACAGGCAACTGCTTGTGAATGTAGTTAATTTTGTGTAGAAAGATTAATTTATTTACTTCATTTTAATAAACTGTTATTGCAGTATGTACCTGACGAGATACAGCCAAATATCCCAGGCAGTAAACTGTGCAGTCTATTGTTTGTGTTTTCTTTGTTCAAATAAAAATACATTGTTGTGTGCAAAAGGTAGTTTGGTATGTAAAGAAAATAATGAAGCCAGGGTGCATGAGTACATGTGGAGATTCATGTTGTGCTGACAGATTATGAATGTAAACACTTGAGGTGATTCAAAGTTGTGAAACAGGGGTTGCTGGATATTTGTGGGTGGACTGTGTACCCTGGGTTTTTGCCAGTGAGTGAGATCCATACAGAACTGACTCTAAATGAGATAATCACATAGTAGCTTGAGTCAGTCACTTTCAGTCAATTTAAGTGTTTGGAGTTGTGCACCAATTGTTCAAGTCGCATGGATGCATGGACTTGTGTGGTAGTTTTAACAATATCTTTTATTCTGCTGGAATTCAAGTGAACTGTCCAATGAATGTGGTGGATCATATCAGAGTGATTTTCTAGAATGGACTTGTGTCGGTCCAAGTGTGATTGGGTCAGAAGAGTTGTGGCTATGTGGCATGCTGGTTGACGGGGTGCCTGTAAATGCTACAGAATGTGCTGTGGTAACTTTGTGTGTACTGAACAGCATGGAGTTGTGATAAGGAAGTGTCGGGAATGCTGGCTGGTGGGGAGTGGAGTCCCTCAGTTAACTCTTTGAGTCCCAGAGGGTTTAGCATCACAGGCCCAAGGAGTAGTAAAGAGGACTAACATTTATAAACTAATCCCCTAGATCAAGGCTGTTCAACCAAGTTCACTCAGGGACCAACATTTTGAAAATGAGGATCATCACAGGGCCTAGATGTCCAAACTCCAGCATAGAAACATCATTGATACAGTATAACTGGCAATGATCTGTAGGCCACTTGCTAGACCTCCAGATCTGGCCCGCTAGATAGCCCTGCCCTAGATTCTTGGCAAGTGTCTGATGCATCCTCCGACCGCACGCATCCCACCTTGCTGAATCTAATCAGTAATAGAGTCAATTTTTTTAATTACTTTTCTGGACTTAAATTTGTTACCAGAATAGCCAATTAACAATATTACAGTGAACAACTATAACTTACATGCTCTGATTTCATTCCTTAAAGCAGAACCAAATCGCTGTAGCTCGTTATAATCAGAGAAAGAGAAAACATTGCGATCCGAAGAAGCAATAGTCTCTAGCTCTCCCTTGTCACTGAGGCCAACACCTAAGGTGTATACTTGTATCCCTTGCTGTGCCAATCTGGTTTTTTCTTCATTTATCTGAAATTTATTATGAAATCCATTTAAACATTCAAACAGACAAATGACTTCCTGTGTGGGCTCAAAGGTCAGATTTAGCGAGTACGGGTGGGGGGGGGGGGGGGGGGGGGGGGGGGGGGGGGGGGGGGGGGGGGTGGGGGGGTGGGGGGGGGGGGGGGGGGGTTAGACCCTTAAACAAGCATGTTAGACAAGATGACTAATCAAGGTTTGCTGAAACTGGTTGTGCCTGCATAATAATTACAGTGGAGCTGTGAATAAAAAAAAAACACACAATATGCAACTGCATCAGAAAGCTGTTGTTACCTGCCTCCATCTTCATTCTCATACTGGCTGAGGGACATTGCAAATCAGGCTCATGTTTTCAAGCAATGTCTAGTTATCTATGCCTTTTTGAGGGCAGATGCATAAAAACAAAAATACACTCTTCTGCTCTTTTCCCCAAATGGAGCATCATCATCATCATCATTAATCAGCATGTCCTTTGAATAATTTTGCTCTCATGACTGCACACCTGAAAGTCTCTCTTTCTCTAACCATTTCTTCAGCTCTATGTGTTTTTAAAGCCAATGTATCTTCAGTGTTTTTTATCCACCTTTGCTGAGGTCTGCCTTTGCCTCATTTTCCAGAAACTGTACCCGCCATCACTTTTCTCACCAGACTTCTGTGATGTTCAATATGAGCCAAATACCTCAGCTTTCAGAATACGATGCTATTTATGAGCCAATTCTCCTGGATGCTCAGATCATGTAGGTTATCAGTGTTTTTTCTTTCTTCTTAGTCCAAGGTGTTTTAAGATTATTTTTCTGTAGCATTTCAGTCAAATGTTCTGATTTTTCTCTTCAGTAATTGAGAGTCTAGGAATCACATCCTTGAGCTGCCATGAAAAAGATGCACAATCTCAAACTTTTTTACTTTAACTAGCTTGCGGATGCTTGGTCATACTGTTTAGCCTCTGCAAAAATGAATCACACAGGCATCAATCAACTCCTACTAAATCATTGGGCTATCCTCCATGCCGTGTGGAGTTCTTGTACAGCTCAACCCATGTCCTCCTCATCATATACACCCAAGTCTTGGATTCTCTTCTCCATGGTTTTTGGTTTCTTTCTCTCTAAGGTCTCCCTGGCAAGTGACCAATCCATTTGCTTCTGATCTATCTATCTATTGTCTTCTTCACTTTTACCGGGTTGCAGCGCAGTGTCGTGGTTTAAAATATTTCTTTTGTGCCTCTCGCGTGATTTGAGTGACAGTTTTCTGGATCTTCTGGTCGTATTCAGCTACTCCATCTATTAATTTTTTCCTGGGTCTTCCTCTGGTCTTTCTTCCCGATGTTCTACTGTAAAAGGCCTTATAGGCAATCTGATCCGGTTGCATTCTTACTAAATGGCCAAACCACTTTATTCTCTGTCTTTCAATATGTTTCAAGCATGATCTTGTTCCAACTTTGTCTCTAATGCTGACGTTTGTGACTCTGTCTCTTCGTGTATTTTTGGCGACTCTTCGGAGACATCGCATTTCATATGTAGTTATTTTTTGCATATGTGATTTGTTCATTGTCCACATTTGGCACTGATAACATAACCTAGGGATGAAAATGTTGTTGATCATCCATTGTTTGGCTGGTAACGAGATCTTTGGATGACGAAGAAGTGGGGCCAGTTGGTAGTTGACTGCATTGGCTTTTTGAACTCTAGGCTGTATCTCTTTATCGAGTCTTCCATCTTCTGTAAATATGCATCCTAAGTACTTGAATTCTTGAACTTGTTCTAATTGTATGTCATTGATCTTTATGTTTACATTACTGTGTTTCTTTCCTATGGTCATTACTTCAGTTTTTGAGGTGTTTATTTTCATGTCAAATTTTGTAGTTTGAGCAATGATTGATCAGCTCTTTCACTGCGGACTGTTCAGCAGCTATCCATTTCCTGTACACTTAGTCCAAAATAACTATCATTCTGTAAAGTCTGTTTTCTGACTGGCACTGTAACTTACTGGTCACCACACGCTATCTTGTCAGTAGCACAAACATTAAGGGTGATATGCTGGGCACATTATGAGGCAAAACAGACACAAATTAACAATAATAGGCTATGAAAACAGATGGACTGAGGATGCAAGAACATTCAAAATAAACCTACTGACAAACACCGTTGAAGGCAAAAAGTGCCCAAATTGGTTCCATTTAAGATATGAAAAAGACTGCACAGAATAGAATGAAATGAAAAAAAATTGACTGTGTTCCCTAGGTAATGACTAAATGACACAACATGATGATTGACTTTGTAAGCTTAAAAGAGTAATTTAAAAACCACAACTTGAGTTAGCATGTACATCCATTTTACAGATCTAGCATATGTGTGTGCAGACTGATGGTTCATCGCCTCTCAAGTAGATCCACTCTGAAGGAATCAGTTGCCTTTCAAAAATGCTTGTCTCCCCCCCCCCCTCTCCCACCCAATCCACAAAATATATGGGGCACTGAAAAGAGTCAGGAAAGAGAAATATAGTAGGACAAGTGAAGATGTTTGTTTGACAGTCTTTATCATTGGTTAAAAATGTGTCAGCACATGAATTAGCTCTTTTTGATAGAGAGTTAACTGCAGCATGGCCAAAGAAGGCATCACTATTAAAAAATTCGAAATTTTGTTGCTGTGTTCATTAAGCTGCAGAGCAAAATGGATCAGTAAACTATGGCTACCTGCCTACCTTGGAGTAATCTTGGCCAGAATTTGTATCAGTGATCAGAATGACTGCATTAGCCACATTTTCTCTGTCCCCAGCCTGAGACTGGAATACTTCGGTCCTGATCCTTCGAAGAGTTCCGGTCAGATCAAATCTGGACAACCTAAAATTGTTCTTGCTAATTGGAGCCAAAGCTCTATTGATCTCTTCATTTGTCGTGTATCTGAAAATAAACGAGAAATAGATATATATGTTATACTTTACAACAACTCAGAAAGCCACTGCAGAAATATACCCATTTGGATCTCTATTGAAGTATTCCAGTTTTATAAACTCCTTCAAACCCAAACAACATATAAATTTTATTGGTGTTACAAAGAAAATATAGAGAGCCGGTGAAGTGTAGCTGCTAGACGTACATCTGTGGATCAGTGTTGCGAGCTAAATTCACTGGGCTGGTCATAAGCGTGAGAGCCTACACCAGTCAAAGTGGCACAGATGATGATTGTAACAAAGACGTGGGCAAAAGGAGTCCATGTGGCTTGAGATGAGAGATGAGTGCAAAGATTCATGATGTGCACACATTAGTGTAAGAGGTGTTTCTAGAGATTCATAAAAAAACAGTGACTTGCATGTGCTTAGCGAGAACCTTGCGGGGTTCAGAGAAGGAGCTAAATGGGAACTGTGGGTCTTGGGTTCAGTGCCTTTTAGCAAGTCAGAGTGTGTGGACGCATGTTCCACTGTCTGTGAATGCATGTTCAGTTGTCAGTGAATTTTTAGCAGTAATTTGTTGTATTATTTTAGTTCAGTGAAAGTTGATCTTGTGCATTCGAATTTTGGTGTATGAGTCGAATTTCTCCCTTTGTAAGTATTTTGTGGAGACAAGGCGTGGAGGGCCCAACATGTTAGTTGCTGCAAGGCTGACAGAAGTCGAGTATGAATTGTGGTGTAATCATGCGGGCGAGATTGTGAATCGCCTCGTGATGATTCTCGATGATTCTGATGCGACTGTGTGTCGAGAGACTTGTTGCCTGGGGCAAAGTCTCTAATCAGGGAGTGCTCATGCAACCATGTGTTGAGGGTTGAGTCTCTGCTCAGTTATCATGTATCGGTTATGGTGACCCGAAGTGAGGGCACGTATCCGAGGAGAAGAATTTGTCTTGGGTGACGATGCGAGGAGGTGTAGGATCACCATGGAAACAAGACAGGGAGGAGAATGTTGTGGACTCACACGGAGTCGAGGTGAGGTGTTCTCTTTCATGTGACACCACCTTGGTAGCTTATTATAGTGTATAGATGGAGCTTTAGATAGACAGTCGTCCTGTATCCCCAGTTCATGCTCATCGTTATGTTCTATTATATAGTGTCTCTGTTGAACCTCTACAGACCTAAATAAGTACTGATTTTATGTTCAGCACTATGGGATATAAGAAGTGAGAGTAAAATCAGCTAGGACTCAAAGAGTTAACTATTTATGTCCCAGATAGTCTCTGTTCTGCTCCTGCAGACTTAAGTATTTAATGTTTTAAATATCAACACTTCAGGATAGAAGGAGTAGCGGTTGCAACTGCCACGTACTGAATGAGTTAGGGAAACCACATAAATCATGACAAATGGCTGCTCATACCAAGACACTGCTGCCTATTCAAACATGACTCTCATATAAACTACATAAATGTAAAGTAAAGGACCCTTTTCCACTGCACCAACTTAAACCTAAGGGCATGGAACCAACAGTCTGCATACAAATAATCACGATATGTCAAAGAGGTGGGCATGCAACACTCGGGTTCTGGAATAGGACAAAAGTCTGGAAGTGAATGAATTACAAGAACTTTCTTAACTCTTTGAGTCCCAGAGAGTTAAGCATCACAAGCCCAAGGGGTAGTTAAAATAGACGTAAAATCAGTGCATCATGCATTCATTGGGCTTCTAGGCAGGAATCTATGAACGTCTGATGGATTCCTTGGGACTCAAAGAGTTAAGGAGTTTACAACCGGTGAACGTAAAGAAAGTGAAGAAGAAGAAATAAAAGTGAAAGACTTTGAAACCACACTGCATCAGGGATATGAGGCATATTTTTATAGACCAGACATATATTTTACAGACTCACTGGCCATCTTTACTGGTACCCATTTGAGGATGAGTTGATCGGCTACTACAGTCAATTTTATTCCAAATGTGCCCTGTACGGATTTGAACCCAAGTATTTTTGCCAAGTAGATGGGTGTCTAGCCACTATGCTCTTGCAGACCTGTCTCTCACTTACCTGTAAGTAATTGCATCTTGTACATTATAAGCAAATACATCTCTGTGTAAAAAAATAAAAAATAAACTCTTTCTCTTACCTGTTTAAATAAAAGATTGGAGGTTTGTCACCATTGACAAAACCAAATCTGACTCTGCCATTATCTACATCTGCACCGGCAATGAGAGACTGGATAAACGATTTCAGAATGTCAAAATCTGGCCGCCTTTTGCTTGGATCAATGTGGACGGCAAACACAATATCTGCATTGGCTTCATCTGGGAAGTAATAAAATAATTAAATGTTTTTTTTTTAGTTACTCTGGCATGTCAGCAGAACTTTTCAGTTTACGACTGTTTGACTACTGAAATATTTGGAAAACAGGATAGAAAGAAGCAAAAAAAGCAAGTGTGAGGAGGAAGAAAGGTAATAAGGAAAGGAGGAAGGAGGGGAAATAAGGAAGGTGAGAAGGAAGGAAGGAAAAAAATAAGAAAGGTGGGAAGGAAAACAATAAATAAGGGATGAGGGAAAGAAATAAGGAAGATGGGAAGGATGGAAATAAATAAGGAAGGAGGGAAGGAAGGAAGGAGGGAAAGAAAGAAGGAAAGGAAGCATGGAAGAAGATAGGAAGGAAGAAATAAAGGAAAATAGGAAGGAAGATGGGAATTGATGAAGGGAGAAAAGAGGAAGACATAAAGGAAAGAAAAGAATAGAAAAAAGGGAAGAATGGAGAAAGTAAGGAGGAAATAATAATGAAAGAAGGAAAATATGTGGAAAAGAAATAAGGAAGGATGGAAATAAGGACATAATAAAGAAGGTAGGAATTAGTTAGTTAGTTAGTTAGTCTTTACTCTTGTGTCGAGTGCGGCACATAGGACAGAGGTCATGACTCTCCATGCATGGCGGTTCGTTGCAATCTGTTGTAGGTCTTGGATGTTTGAGTGGCCCATGAGCGAGCCTTCCCTGATGATAGTTCTACGTAAAGTTTCCCTTGGTCTTCCACGAGATCTTTTCCCCTGTGGTGTCCAAATGAGGGCTTGGTAAGGAAGTCTTGATTTATCCATTCTAAGGGCGTGGCCGACATAGTTCCAGCGGCGTTTTCGCATAAAATTAGACACATACTCTTGCCTGGATTCTTGCCTTATTTGTGTATTGGTTTGGAAATCTGACCATTTGAAATTTAGTATTCTTCTAAGGCATTTATTTTCAAAACTGTCTAATTTTGTGTCTAGAGTTTTCGTTGATTTCCAGCTCTCACATCCATAGGTTAGTACTGGAATCACACAAGAATTGAAGATCTTGAGTTTTGTGTGTTTGCTAAGTGTCTTTGATTTCCAGATGTTGGACAGTTTATTGAAGGCACTAGATGCCAGTGCTATTCTAAATGGTATTTCTGGTGCGGTATCTCCTGTAGATGACATCTTGCTCCTAGATAAGTGAAAACTGTTGACTGTTTCAAGGCTGTTGTTGTTCAGTGTGATATCAACTGAACTGTTGGTAAGGTCTAGAATTTTTGTTTTTGCAGTGTTAATTTGGAGTCCAGTTTGTTCTGAGAAATTCTGGAGTCGATTGATTTTTTCTTGGGCGTCTGTGTGTTCTGAACTCAGGAGTGCTATGTCGTCGGCGAAGTCTAGGTCTTCCAGAATTTTGTCAGCCCATGTAATGCCTAAATTTGCGTTATTTATGCATTGGCGCATGACCCCGTCGATTGCTATACCAAAAAGCATCGGCGATAGGACACAGCCTTGCTTCACTCCTGTTTCCACCGGGAACCAGTCAGAATTTCCGGAATCAGTTCTTACACAGCATCGTGTTTCATTATAAAAAGATTTTATGATGTTGATATATTTGATGGGGAAACCATAGATGTTAAGCAATTTCCAGAGTGTTGGAGGATGGATACTGTCAAAGGCTTTTTGGAAGTCGACAAAGCTGATCAATAATTTCGACTGGAATTCTGTAGAATCTTCAACAATTATTCTAAGAGTAAAGATGTGGTCTATGCATGACCGCTTGGATCTAAAACCGGCTTGTTCTTCCCTTAATCTTTCATCTATGGATTTTTTCAATCTTTCTAGTAGCATTCTACAAAATAGTTTCCCTGGTATCGAAAGCAGGGTGATGCCTCTCCAGTTGTTACAATCGGATAAATCACCTTTTTAGGTAATTTGAAGATTACACCATCTTTCAATTGTTGTGGTGGGTATTCGTTTTGCCAGACTTCATCCATCAGCTGGAGCAAATGTTGCAGGGTGTTTTCATCCGCTGCTTTGAGCATTTCCCCTGAGATGTTGTCCTCTCCAGTAGCTTTGTTTATTCTTAATTTTTTAATAGCTGTTTTAATCTCCTCTATTGTGAATGACTCGCTGGAGGCAACTAGTGTCGGTGTAATAATTTCTTCTTCTAGATTGGGAATGATGTCAGGATTTGGTCTATTTAATATTTCCTTGAAATGTTCTGCCCATCGCTTTGTTTGTTGGTCGTCGGATAGCAGTAGTTTACCCTGATTGTTTTTAATGGGTGTATTTAGTGTAGGTGAGTGATTGCACAGTTGTTTCATAATATGGAATACGGCTTTGTTGTTTCCAGTCTTGGCAGCTGTTTCAGCATCGGAGGCGAGGTTGTGTATGAAGTTCTGTTTGTCTTTCCTTGCATTTGATTTCACTTCCTTGTCTAGCGTGCTGTATTTTTCGTATGAAGATGTGTCTTTTTTGGATAAAAGTGTTAATTTTGCTTGTTTCCTTTCTTGGATTTTTGACCAAGTGTTGTCGCTTAGCCACTTCTTTTTCTGCTTTTGTACATAACCAACTGTGTTTACTGCAGCGTTTGTCAGTGTGTTCTTGAAAAAGTTCCAATTTTTGTCTATGTTATTTGTAGTATCAGCATTACTAGTTTTGGTTACATAGGTGGTGAGTATCTCTGCATTAAATGCGCTTTGATGATCTTTTGACAAAAGGGCTTGTAAATTTATTTTCTTATTTCTGGGTGGTTTAACTAGAGACTTGAGTTTAATTTTTAGTTTGGCAATACAAAGATTGTGATCACTGCCAATATCAGCTCCCCTGTTGGCTCTAACGTCTTGCACTGATGTACGGAATTTGGCGCTGATGCAAAAATGATCTATCTGGTTTTTTGTTATGTTATCTGGCGAAATCCAGGTTATTTTATGTATGTCTTTGTGCGGAAATAAGGAGCTTGCTACTGTTAGATTTGCTATTTCACAGAGTTCAATTAGCCTCTCTCCATTTTGATTCATATCTCCTGGGCTGTGTACTCCCATATATTTTTGAACACCTTTGTTGTCAGACCCTAACTTGGCATTAAAATTGTCCATTACAACAAGGAGGTCGTGCTTAGGAGTTTTGTTTATGACACCAACCAGGAGGTCGTAGAAATGATCTTTGATGCTGTCAGTGTCGTTGTTCGTAGGTGTGTAGCACTGTATAATAGTTAGTTTGAAATGTTTGGTAAGGTAGGGATGAAGGAAGAAATATGATATTTATAATGAGCCATTATAAATTATACTTAATCTCATAATAATAATGATAAATAGGGTTTACGCATGAGCCTGCCAGTTTGGTAGAACTAGTTTATATCTTCCCTTGAGAAGGAATTATTTATGACCACTTGAATTTTAAGGTAACTTAACATCATAGAACTGTCAAAGAACTGAGGCAGCTAACTTACTACCAATCACATTGGCCATCAAGTATGAGCCACTGGGTCCAGGAAATAGGACTTGAGCATCTTATCAATTGGACATTATCAAAGACTCAACTATATAAAATTAACACCCAAGAGACAGATGCCTAAAAAACACTGCTAACATAACCATTCAAGACCCAGTGAGAAATGATACTGTCAGAAAGACTGTGTAACAACTCCATGCACCACATTCATTGTGAAGCAGATCTGATTATTGAATTATATTATTAGAATGCTCTTGCATCAGCTAGCAACACAGGCACAACACCTAAGATGATCAGATGTGAAATCAAGAGGGCACCCAAGCAGAAGATGATGATCACACTGAAGATTTTCTATGTCTACACAGAATGACTATAGCCAATACTACCCAATAGGCTCCAGACTGCAGAATGTTACTCCCAACCCCCCACCCCGATGCATAGCAAAAAAGTTGGATGTTGACAATAATGATGACAATATTAAACAAATCTGTATGACATAGCAATTTATCATAAGTAAAGGTGAAGGACCCTTTTCCACACTTTTAGGCATATAGGGCATATAGGGCTAGACCTAGATCTGTATAGACCAAGGGGCACAAGATGAGAAATGTGGTCAGCATCACACCGACTATTGGCCATATAGGACTAGACCTATATTTTATAGCCCAGTATTGATTTGGTTGGTTATGTGGTCAACATAATACCAATCGCCTTTACTTCCTTGTACTTTACCTGCTACCCATTTAAGGCTGGGTCGACCTGGGAGCCAAATTCATTTTTTTAAAATAGTGCAGTTCCATCTGGATCTGAATCCACAACCTTCGTATTCACAGGCGGGTGTGTAGCCACTACACCATGGCGGCTTCCCTGTTGAATCTATCAGTTTCATAAACTTCTCCAGTAAATCCATTTGTCAGCTTACAGTAGCTATTCCAGCTCAGATTATCCTGGCAAATCTCCAAAACATATTTATCAACTCTTTGAGTAGTTATGTTTTCACAAAAGACGTCACAGTACTTTTGGGCATTTCCATGCACGTTGAGTCTTTAGATCCGGCATCACAAGTTATCTCTACTGATTTTTTGAGTGGTGTATCTATTGCAGAAGTGAAGCAAATATTTCAAAAGTGTCTAAAACATTCCCCTTAAATGAAACAAATAATAAAATACTTACTTCTGAGGTCAAGTATGGATACTGGTGCTCCTGAAATGTGTAATGACATGAGAAGTAGAAAGAAGACAAATATTAGTTGAATATTGCAGCTAGAGTTACTCATACTGTGCATGCCTTATGGTTGGTGCGCTGTGATGTTATAAATACTTGCAACAAGATAGGTTGGTGATTCATGTGGAACAAAGTCCTTGTATATCACTGAGTGCATGACAAACTGGCAGTCATTGGGTATATATACTAAACAATGAGTTTTTTCTATAAATCTACATCACTGAAGGCTAGAAAAAGATTTCTCGCAGAAATTGAAAGAGGGTTAAGACCCAAAGACAACTTATCACAAACATCAGAAGGAGACAGGCATCCTTATTTGGCCATGTTATGAGAAGAAAGAAGAAGAAAGAAGCTTAGAAATACCGCAACAACTGGAAGGAAATTTAAGTTAAATCTGAAGTTAAAGTCAAGATGATCAACTTCGTTGGGTTGGGTTTTATCTCAAAGGGTTCGGTCTCTCTTTGCAGAATGGTTAGCTGATTTCCAAGAGCTTGCACTAAGCATGAACGTAGCTTCAGCGATTATCCCTTGGGATTTTCATAAAAACTGAAGGGGAGAAGGGGAGAGGGACAATGCAAGAAGATTCACAATAGCCGTTTAACATGGCATGGAATAGTGTCAGCACATAAACTGATACATGCTGTTAAAGATCACCAAAATGTGGCCAGGCATGATCACCCATGCCACTCAGGTAGGAACCTGATAATGATGATGATTCCTTTTTGATAATTGACATCTTCATGTTAATGTTTGGAATGGTCAGGCGGTGCCTGATACTTGTTCCCACTTTATATTTTCATGAATTTCAGCTGCTGCACTTTTACCATTTGTGTTAATCATTAATTCTTGTTCTGTACTATCTGCTACAGGCTGACAGCTTTCTTCTTTATAATTATGGACTGTTCACAGCTGCTATGGCACTTTAGACATAAATAACGAAAATGTTAATCCTAAAAAGGACGGGGAGTTTTTACTATTTATTCAGTATCCTCTGATATATAAATTGTTTCCTGCAGCAGATTTCTGCATATATGTTAAGAAATAAGTCACAATGACGTAGAAAAAACAGTTTAAATATATTCACCTAATAATGTTCAACATTTTTTTATCCATATTGTTTTGTATTATCTTGCAAAATTTTAATTTACTGTCACAGTTCCCCAGCAACAACAGTCTTAAGACTTTGATGCTGTGTATTTTTTCATTTTTTGTTGCAATTACCTTTCCTAAAATTAAAATTTCTTAAAAAACATCATGGCAACACAGGATATAATATAGTTTGGTGGTGAAAGGGAAAGAAAATAAAACAAGAAATAGTTTATGTCATCTCTGCAGATTAAATGTTACAACCAGCAATATCACTTGAGAAATTGGGCTAATGGTAGGCAGATGCTGAAATATGAAAACAAATATAAGAATTTTAATTTAAGTGACTAATTGGACATGCACATTTTATAGAACAAAGTGCAATATGGATGATCTAAAAATGTAACTGACAAATCAAAATGTGAAAGCGGCTAGCAGGCTGTCGAAAGCTTCAAAAGTTGTTGCTGTGACGCAGTTAGTTTTCAGACCTGGAATGTTTCACAAATTTAATAAATGACATAGAACTTGCAGATGACATGGTCCTCTGGCAGATGCCTTCAGCAATAAGTTGGTGCATCTATATTGATAAAAGTGAAAATGCATAACAAAGCATTTGATAATTACCAAACATAAGAAACATGTAAAACAAGTAATATTGTAACAATATACCAGTAAGATAAGAAAATGAAATATATTCAAATGTGTGTTTTCAATAAACTATATTCAGCAACCAACACCCTCAGAGAAATGATCTGCTGTCAGGAGAACTGTCCAATCATAAACATTGTGGGGGTGGGGTGGGTGTGTTCAGTAGATATTAGTTTACAATATTTAAAATATATATATCTAAATGACATGCAAGATTAAGTTTATATGATTCAAAAATTTTGTCAACATCAAACATTGGAAGCAGATTAGAAATGAAGTGTTTTTTTTCTTAGTTATATTAACATAATGAGTTTTTACAATAAACTTAGCATCATGTTATTGCTTTAATAATTCATTTGTAAGCTATTAGTAATGTTGGTTTGAAAGTGAAGATAGTTTTTAAATAAAGTTAAATAAAAAGACAGGACAAATTTATGATTTGACACACACAAAAGTCATTGTTTTACAATTTAAAATAAATTTAAACGTTTTAGGTTTTAAAAAACAATGATAATATTATTACAAAGTTTTTCTTTTTTGTTTCATGCATTAACACAACACAGAGTTTTAAAACACTATGAAGGTTTGATAATAATTTTATAGACCTGTTGTTGGCCGTTCTGGCTCTGGCTCTGGTCGCCCTGGAGGAGCTCTTCTTTCTTGCACTGTCAGATGGAAACAAAATATGTTCTTAATAAAGTCAGCATTATCCCTGGAATAATACTTTAATTTGAAGATAAAACCTGTGTTTGATATTGTTATGTATTTATCATCATTATCATCACCCTGTTGATATGAGCTTCTGCACAGTGCTAGACTATACTGCAACAGTCTATCCAAGGAGGTACAACAACTTGCGAGGTATCTAGAAAAAGGGCAGCTAAACAGTGAAGACAGGCTAGAAAGACCTGTATAACATGTCCTTTATCTACATAAACTTTCGACTATTTCAGTGGGGGGTAAGCAGGAGTTCTGGATGATATTAAAGGCTGAGGGGAAAACATAGGCAGACTTGTAATCAGATTGCAGCTGGCTCTATTAGCATGGGAACTCTTCACTGGCTCCTGAGAGGGGAAACAGAGCACATGTGGGAATGTCCCTCATGCAGTGATGTCAGTTCTTGATGGACTGGTTCATTCATTGATAACAACATATTACAAATACAATTATTTCATTAGGTGGTCCGAAGAAGTAGTTTCAAGCCAGCTGATCCTACCAAACACTGTTCCCTTTTGTTAGAAATTTTCATCAGCTCAGTATAAACATGATCATTGATGTTGTTGCTTGCTTGTCGATGTAGACGTTTCTAGATCCTTTCTTGTGTTTTTCCTCAGACTTATTCTCTCCAATATGGTCAGCTGTTATCTCCATGCTCACATCATCACCAACAGATGTATAAAAAGGACTCTAAGAGCATGTCTTTACCCACATGGTACTGCTGGATACACCTGGCTGCTGCAATCATTATAGGTGCCCTTAATATAACTTCTTTGGAGGTTGAACAGAATATATGTGATCTCCCTTGCTAGTCCTGCCATCCATATTGGGATTTTTTAAATCTCAGGATGATATGGTAAACCTTCAGGTACCAGCCCGGAGTGGACAAACCAATGGATCAACCATCTTATATTACATACAACTGTTGTGGTGAGAAATGTTAGGTCTTCACATATTCTAGGTAATGACACATCAGAAATGGTTTGGGTAGCCAGTTTCTTTTCTCATCATATTTTCTTTGCATACAATTCACAGAAAGTTGGCTGGTACTCATTTCACAGGCTAGCCTAATCTCCAGAGCTGTGCTGGTCAGACTAAATAATCCGACCTATACTGGAGATTGGAGCTAGACCACTGTCTTGACAGGCAGATGCACTAACTACTATGCCACAGTGATTACAAGACAGGTCCACTTGTTTGTACTCTATGTGACTGTTTGTTTCTCCCTGCTTTGAGTCTCAGGCAGTTGTTTTAACATTATCTATTACCAAATAGGATTTTAGAATGATATTCTTTGTGTTTTATGAAATTAAAATAATACAGCTCTGGGACAGCTCAGGTTAGTGTAAATAGTTGCGATAGAATAAGCTAATGTGATACAATGGTGAGACACTACCAGTAAAGGAAAATATAATGTTCATAGCAGGGTTTTTCAACTGGTCATCTGAGGAGATGTCAAAAACTTGAGTATATCATAATAGTAGTAGGAAAGCTGCCGGAGAGGAGAGACAGAGGGAGATCGAGAGAAAAGATGCTGAACAGTTTGATATCATGGCATGGAAGATCATCTGTATCAGAGTTGATTGAAAGTACAGAAGACAGAAGGCTGTGGACAAACATGACTACAAATGCTACACAGCATGGACTTTAAAAAGAAGATTCAACTGGCAGTCCATGGGCCGAATTTGACCTGCAGAGACCTAGAAAGTGCCCCATGGGTCATTGCCTGCGGAACACTATCATTGATTTATCTACACTCGAGAAGCAGGGCTGATCTGTAGTGATCCCCACTGTCAACATTTTGGCCTTAAGTAGACTCAGTTGTATAGCCTGATATATAGAACACTGCAGCTGAAAGTATGCTGAGAAAGGTGAAGACAGGGATGCTTCAAGCAGAGTGGCAAACTTCACTGGGAAGGTGACACATAGTGAGCATACTTTGGATCTTTTCTCCAGGCCATGCTGGCGTGGTGGAGAATGAACAGGCAAATAAATTGGCTGAATCTGCATCACTGGGTAGTGAACTGTTACATGAAAAGGCAGATGTGGTCAGGGCCCTTCGGGAACAAGCAACAGAATCAGTAGAGAAACCAGATTATTATGGCCTGGAGAGAATGAGGCACCTGGGTGTAACCAGGGGGTCTGGTCAGCTCATTACACTCAGGGGAAAAGCAAGACAGTCATTAAACCAGATTACAACTGGTACTATTAGTGTGCCTCAGGGCTGTGTACTATCGCCGCTTCTTTTTATAACATATATGGATACCATATGTAGTGAAACGAACTTTAATCATGAAAAAGATATTACAGAATTACTTTTTGCCGACGACCAGGTACTCATAGCAGAAAATACGGAATGCCTACAGAACCATCTAAATCAAATTAATAACAAAGGGGAGGAATATAATATGAAAATAAACACTACGAAGACAGAGACAATGATGATAGGAAGACATAAAGACAATTTAGAAATTAAATTAAAAAAACAACACACTGAGACAAACAGAGGAATTTAAGTATTTGGGAGCAATTTTTACATCCGACGGAAAACTGGACAAAGAAATGAGCCAACACTATGCTATCAATGCTAAACGTGGACACTTACATCCTCCAATGAACGTACATTTGTGACAACAGAGATGAAATGCCTTAGAAGAGCTGCAGGAGTTTCAAAGAAAGACAGAATACGAAATCATGAAATCAGACGAATGCTAGGAATAAAGCCAGTCTTACAGGTCATCAAATAACAACAAATAAAGTGGTTTGGACACCTAACAAGAATGCCCTGGTACTATCCGCCCCAGCGAGCCACACTAAAACCTTACAACGGGTATAGAGTGAGTGGAAGACCTCAGAAAAGATGGAGTGATGGCACTAAGATCAGCCTTACAGAAATGAACATCAGTCTTAATAGTGCTCTTGACAGAGCTCATCAACGAACATTACATCTCCCCCGACACTTCGATGAGGTACAAGGTGGAAGAGAAGAAGAAGAAGAAGAACTATTAGTACTGGAAATCTGTGCTGGCTGCTAAAGATGAGAATGGAGCATGCATGGGAATGCCCCGAGTGCTGTGATATTTATTATTGACTCAGCTCAAGTCAGTTGTATAGCCTAAGTATATAGAGTATGAAGTATGCATGAAAAGACAATTACTCAAAGATATACAAAAGAGACAATTCAAGTATTTTGGCCAGATGAAAAGACTTAACACTCTTTTTAAAAACCATTCTGGAGGGAAAGGTGGAGGGCAAGAAAGCAAGAGGCAGACAATGATACAAGTGGGAAGACGACATCAAGAGATGAACAGACAGCAGCCAAAGAGTGTACAACCAAGACAAGAGACAGAGTGTGTTGGAGCTCCATAGCAGATGACCCTCACTGTGTGGAGATCAACTGACTGAAGACTAATTGACTATTGTTGTTGCACTTTAGGATGATATTCTTTGAGTTTCATGAAATTAAAACATTATAGCTCTGAGACATGATAGGTTAATATAAACAGCTGGGGGAGAATGTGTTCATATAATACAGTAATGAGATACTATCAGTTACGAAACATTCTACAGTATGTAGGATTACTAATAAATGCAGATGAGCTTACTCTATCTCCCAGATTACAGCTGTGTGAACTAAGGTAGGTAGGTAGCTGTACCCTACCAAGGCATCACACAAGTGATAAACACCCGGTGACACAAAGTGCCACTATGTGGATGAGGATCACCCATGGAGAGGTCCCAGAAACCCTTTTCAGCCGTTAGGCCATATTTATGGCTAGACCATATCTATACCATCTATATCTATACCCAGCCTAAAATGGGCATAAGGAAATGTCTTGGTAGTAAAGGTTGCTCATGTGATGCTGATCATTACATACTGAGAATCAGCTAATATACAGGATCTCCTCGACTTATGTCCGAGTCCCTGGCTATTTTCAGGGTCCCCGGCAGAAACAGGGTGGGAACTAACCTTGTTCCAGAAACTGTGTCACAGAAATTACCCTAATCCAGATAATCTCCTTAAATACTAAAAATAAAATCTTCTGATTCGGAAAGAGATGGTCTTGTTTTGATACAGGCAGCTTGACCACAGAACCTGTAGCTACTCCAGACAGATATACAATTTATCATACAATAACTCACAGCCTGCAAGGGTATTGCGGACTTGTTCAACAACATCCGAACTAAAGGCGGTCACATAAGTTTTAGCAAAAATGGCATTCTTGACTGCAGGATCGCTGGAAACTGCTCTCAGTTCATCAACATTAGCTGACTCCATGCCGACGGTGATAATCTAGAAACAGTAAAATAATATATGACAAACAATATGGTCAGTGTGTGTAATACACATAAATAAACTACTGAGGAACTCTACTTTTGAAAGAATATGACAATGAAATCATAATGATCAGCTTGAATCTTGAAGTTGTAACTATCACTTTCAGTTTGCATCTTGATTGTGTAGTGTGTTTTATCTCTACTTCTTTCTTCTGCATCTATGAGTGCCAGTCAATATACTACCACTCACTTCTCATACCAATAATAACTAGAGTGTCTTCTTGTTATACATTAGCTCTCATGGACTGGATTCATCTGGTTCAAGATTCATCATCACGGCATTCAGGACAAGCTCAAATTAGCTGCATCTCCCTCCTTCACAGCCAGTGAAGTGCCGCCATACTTATTATTGTCATTTGGTAAACTACTCATCTTATCTTGTCCCTGAGTCTCAAGTGGTACCCAGAGCCTGCAGACACTCCCTGCTGCAACATTCTGTCTAGGTACAGTTTTTAAATATACTTTATTTTACTTATAAGTAAAATTATTAGCCCCGCTTCATGAACTGAGACCCTAAATATTGCAGTGGCTACATGACTGACTGTCAGCCCGAAAGGTATAAGTTCTAACCCGCACTGAAACAGATATTTTAAAAAGTTGACCTTGGCGCCTATGATGACCCAGCCTAAAATGGGCATAAGGAAATGTCTTGGTAGTAAAGGTTGCTCATGTGATGCTGATCATTACATACTGAGAATCAGCTAATATACAGGATTTCCTCGACTTATGTCCGAGTCCCATTCCAACTAACAGGTCGCTCGGTGAACTGGTCATAAGTCATAAATATATTTTTAACACTATCATGATTCAAATGGGTTATTTAAAAACTGCAAAAACATAGCGGGGTCAGATAGAATCTCACATCTAGACCCTGCTGTGTTCTAAGCATCAGATTCAAAAACTGTTTGATGCCTCTAATGAAGTTACCTTTCTTTATTAACTATTTTTAATTCATTCATTTCTTGTGGTTATCAGTGCAGATGTTTGTAATTGGTCATATGTTGTATAGGTTGTAAGTTGCACAGGTCGTAAGTGGCATAGGTTGTAAGTGGCATAGGTTGTAAGTGGCATAAGTTGTAAGTGGCATTGGTCATAAGATGCATAGGTCGTAAGTGGCATAGGTCGTAAATGGCATAGGTCGTAAGTCGCATAGGTTGTAAGTGGCATAGGTCATGTAACACAAATTCTGAGGAACTGAAAAAGAAATTAGTGTATTAAAAATGTGTGACTAATAACTATAATACATTACAGCTGGGGAAATATTTATGTTAGTCAAATATTCTTTTTAACTCTTTGAGTTCCAGGAAATGCATCACACCCCAATTTGTTTCAACCGTGAGGCCCAATAAACTCGTGACAAGTGAAGGTTTTTAATCTACCACTGACTGGTTGTAAAACCCGTACCACTCAATTTTAACTTGTTTTCGAGTTTTTTGTGTCTGATATCAGGCGTGCTCATTTAGAAATGTGGTTTGAAAGATGAAAATATAGTATATTAGCGAGATTTGTCGAGCTAATAAGTGTTTGTTTTAATAGAATGTGGCCACCAAGCAATATTCAACATGCATGCCAACACGATTTACAGCTTTAGAAGCCTCAAATTTAAATAATGTATGTTTTTTTTAAAAAAGATTTATCCGAAGTTAGATAACATTGCGAATTGGATGTGTTTCAGTCATTTATAGAGTCAAACTTTGATGAGGGATTTGTCTATTGTGTACCTCACATGAAGGGTACAACAATAGCAAAGTCAGCTGGCACAAATAGAATAAACATTAGTGAAAAGGCAATTTTCTTCAGTGTCAGTTAATTCTAGTGCTATTCCCCTTATTATTTAGGAACATAGCTACAAAATTACAGGCAAATTGAGTATTATATAAACTCGGTTTTGTGTGAAGATACTTATTGTTTTTGGAGTCAGTGTTCCTTACCAAATAATGGTGCTCTGTTATGAAGCTTCAAAAGATTCTTTGGAACAAAATCTAATGTATAGATTTTCTCATCTGCCACCTAAACCATCCCCTAATTAAAGATTATTAACCATATAACAACCAACAGTATTATGTATTAAAAAACAAAGAAACTCAAAATAAATATTACCTTAACCCCTGCTCGCTTTAGTGCCTCAGCTTCTTGAACAAACTGTTCTTGGTCATCTGAATTTTTGTCATCTGTGATGAGAATTACAGCATTTGGGGCATCAGGTCTGTCTCCACCTTTACTTGTGAAGATGTCTGTTCGAACCTGTTGTAAAAAGCAGAATTATATTATTTTAATTCAAGTAATCAGATGAAGATGGTGATGACAAAGAAGAAGGGAGGAAGAGGAGGAGGCAAAGGAAGAGGATAAAGGGAGAATTTGTGAAGAGATAGAGGAAAATGATGAAAAAAAGGGAAACAAATTATTAAGAAGAACAAGGAAAAGGAAACAGAAAAGGAAATGGCAGAAAGGAGGAGGAAGAGCCACAAAAACAAAATATGTAGACACGACCAAGAGACTTAGCTTGCAGGGAATCATGTAAACACAAATCAAAAGGATATTGTGAAGAAAAACAAACTTTTTCTTTTCTTACCTCATTAAACGCACTGCCACCGGATGATTTCTTGGCCCTGTCCCCACCATCAATGCTTTGGATTTCCTTAATGACTTCGGCTGATGTTCTGTACTTGGCGAGATTGAACTGAAACACACACAAATTTTGAATGGCAACAAAATATTTCATATGTCTACAGCCGTGGCCAAAAAAAGTTTAAGACCACATCGTAAATAACCGATTTTTCCACACAAGCTGCAGAGTATTGCATTCATTATAATTTGATTTGATTTGATTCAAGAACCTACATCACAGCACTTGGGGCATTCCCATAAGCGCTCCCTCCCCATCGTTAGCAACCAGTGAAGAGTTCCGACACTAATGGTGCCAGTAGCATTCTGATTAAACGTCCTTTATTAAACTTTAAGGCCCATCAGTAACTGCAATGACCATTCTACCCTAAAATAGGAGCTGATGCAATTCTTCTTCTTCTTCTTCTTCTTCTTCACTTTCTCTTTTACCGCTGTGGGTGTCGAGGGAGATATAAGGTTCTGTTTCTAGCTCTTCTGGCTGCCTCGACCATAGGCACAACGTGTTGTTGTAGAGTTTCTCTGATGTTATCCTTCCATCTTGTTCTTGGTCTACCTCTTGCTCTACGACCTTCTTCTCTTTCCATGTATGCTTTGTTTGGTATGGTGTCACAAGGCATTCTCTCTAAGTGGGCAAACCATTTCACTTGCTGTCTTTGTATGTAATCCAGAATTGGTTCTGTGCCGACTTGTTCTCTTATTATCTCATTCCTAATCTTATCTCTTATGGTCACTCCTACAGCTCTTCTCAGACATCTCATCTCCGTGGTTACTAATTTTCTTTAATGGTTTGTTGTGAGTGACCATGTCTGGCACTGGTAGCGCAGAGTTGGAATAAATATGCTTTGAATAAGATGTCTCTATGTGCTGATTGGGATTGTCTTATGCTGTAAGAGGGGTACTAGCTGATGCAATACTCAGTAATAATATAGTAATTTCAATTATTTAGCATGTGGCTTTGAACATCTGGCCACCACTGTACCTCATTCACATGTTTATTGCGCACTATATCACAAACATGAAAGTGTACATGGATTGTGTGCTAACAAAGCTATTAACAAACATGAATATCCATGATTCAACCATTCACAAAAGGTCTGTTGCAGTTGAATTACCACACTTATCTCTTTTGATCCACTTATAACTACTCTGGCTTTGAAGTTGTGTGGTAAATTTAGGTCAGCAGAAACAAATCTTCTGCTTGCACTCTCCTTCTTCTATTGTTAGTTTTGTGTAATAAACAAATATTGTCAAATGGACCTTTGCCAAAAAAAAAAAAAAAAATGTGCAGGATATTTATGAGAAAAGACCACAGGTCATAAAGTAAAGGGAAAATGGGAATGGGGGGGGGGGGGGGTGGGGGGGTACATATTTTGACTGCCAAGCACAAGTGCCAGGTATAATCAATCTCTGTATGCCCTGTCTTCTGCATCTGTTGATACTCATGCTGGTCTACTCTTTAATACTTAACTTAGTAGATCCTCTTCTACCTTGGGGTGAAGATGTTTGCCATAGAGATCATCAGACTTCTCAATCAGCAGTTTTCTTTTTGGCTTTGTTCCATTCCACTTCTCTCTGATTCAGGGACTGTCAGAAATTGTCTTCCCAGCAAAACCTGGGTCACCCTGGTGGTTTGGTTCTCTAGTTCTTGGCCTCCCATGCCTGCCATGGTGTTCTGTTCTCTTCAATTATGCATACTTGTGCAAACCATTGTAACTACCCTTCAATATGAAATAAAACTCACCTTAGTGCGAGCTCTCTTAGCATAGTTGATCAAAGCAATTCGGACATTACCACTGTCTATCTGTGCCTTTTCAACAATTGCTGTCACCAAAGGCACAAAATATCTTTTGATTTCTGCAGGTTTGATGTCAGTAGACAAGTGGAAAACAATAGCTAAATCCACTTTGTCAGAATCTGGAAATATACATACACAAACATACATTGAGGTCATCATCCTCATTCTGTTGTGCTGTTTATCAAATATGATATATATATATATATAATCATCACATATAAGATGTGTCATACTGAAATATAAAATAAATTAAATGCTAACATGAGTCTAACATGCAATAAAATAAGGGAAAAACATAACAAGAGTCTCACAAACATACACATGCACACACGCACACACACGTGCGCACGCACACACACACACATACATACATTCATACGTACATACATTCACACACACATTAATCGACACACATGCATGTACACACGCATGCATGCACACATTTAGGTGCGTTCATGCACACACACACACGTGCACACGCACACACACATACATACATTCATACATACATGTACACACAAATACAGTAAGTTAAATGATTAAATGAGCCTTTATACACATCACTAACATTCACATAAATACATTCACAGACTCACATGTCCTCATGGGTACACTTACATAAGCATACAATCTCACACACATATACTTCAAATACATATACACTGAAAAGTACATAGACTCACACACACATACATTCAAACACATGAAAACTTAAACACATACAGCATTAACAGTGATAATAAAAGCTATGAAGATCCTAACAACCAGTGTAATGCACACACACACAACACCAAACAGTGTCAGGAGTCATCGAAGTAAAGGACCCTTTTCCATGCCTTTAGGCGCATAGGGCATATAGGGCTAGACCTATATTTTACAGAACAATCGGCACAAGATGGGTGATGTGGTCAGCATCACGCCAGCTGCCTTTACTTCCCGGGACTGCACCCAGTACACACTCAAGGCTGGGTCAACCTGGGAACCAAAGTCATTGTTTTAAAAAGTCCGGCTGTGCAAGATAGCGGACCTACGATCTTCAGATCCGCAGCAAGCATCTAGGTGCTCCGCCATGGTGACTCCCTAGGAGTCATCAAGGCAAAAACAATACTCACTGTCTGCTGTTAAGGTTTCATCTACAGAAGGGGCATCTTGTTGCTGCACTGTAAGAGAGAAACAAAGTCACAATGAGGTTACAGTTTTGAGAGGGCAATACTCTTTAAAAAAAAGTAGAACTTAGTACAGTAAAGGACCCTGGTAAAGACTTTTATTTATAATGATGTAGAGACACCTGTCGGCACTAGATTACATATTTGTCTCTCATGTAGATGCCGTCTGACATCCCTAATTAATCCCCATTTACAACATGTTGGTTGTTGGCAGTGAGTCTACACTTTTTGTCCCCAACATGGGACCACTGAACCCACACAGGGACTTTTTACAGACTGAATGAGTGATGTGGTAAACATCACACCAATCTACCTTACTTCCAAGGATATTACTCACTATCTATTTTAGCCTTGATTGACATGAAAGCTAAGGTTATAATTCTCATGTGCAGAAAAAAAAAAAATTTGCAGAAGCAACAATTAGCAAGGAAAAAATGTAAGGTGCTTTTGTCTAGTATTTTGTCCTCGTGTGTGTGGTCTGACTCCATCAGGGTGGGGGGAAGGGGTAGGGGAGGAAGGGGAGTAACTGTGCCACATATTATTCACTTACAGCCATGTGAGGAGCTGTGATATATATATATTTTTTTAGAGATAGCAACTATAGAACCACAAGAAGAAGGAGCAGGATAGTAAAACAGAGTCAATATAAATTGTTGTTTACACTGCTCCTGATCCACAATGTCAGCTGTTTCTCCATTACATAACTGTCATTTATGTCTTATCCATCTGTTTTCTGCCTCTTACCTCTGTCATTTCTGTGTTACCCAAGCTGTGTTTCTATATTGCCTTTTTAATTTCTCTCTTGCCCAACTGTCATTTCTGTTTACCAAAATGTAAATTCTGTCTTACACAACTGTCATTTATATATTACCCATGTATCGCTTATGTATTAACCACCTGCCTTTTCTTTATTACCCAGCACCATTTCTTTACTGCATAGTGTCTTTTCCACACTACTCAACTTGTCCTTGTTGTTTAAATGACCTAACTGTCATGTTATTTTTATCCAAAATTCATATCTGATTTGCATTACTTCTTTGCCTTATTGGACACCTTTATGTTGGTGTCTGGAGGGACACAATTGCCAAGGGATGTAGATGATGATGATGATGATGCAAAGAATGACGACTGATTACTAAACAGTAATTAATGTATGGCATGTTTTATAATCTATGCAGATCTTACTGATAAATCAGGTTAAGATTAATATTAATATGACTAATCAGATGATTCATGCAAGTCGAAGAAAACTTGTTAGACATGACAGCATGCACACAACAGCCTTACGTGCTGGTTCTGCTTTGACAATCTCTTCACTGACCATGGTAAGGTCATCAAAAGTCTTTGGAATGTAAATATTTGTAGGAGAAGAAACAATTCTTTGCAGCTGTGATGCATCTTGTAGGCCTACCCCAACTGCGTAAATCTTGCTCCCTGCATCTTTAACAGCTTGTGCTGCTGTATGCAATTTCCTAACATCAGCTCTTGAAACAGCATCAGTCAGAAGAACGATCACATTTGGAACCTCAGGTCGGTCCCCAGCTTTGTCCGTGAACACCTTAGTTCTGACAAAATCCAAAGCTGCGATGATATTACCATCTTTGGCTGGCGACAGTTTTAGGTTGTCAATGTCATTTAAAAGATTAGCTTTCTGTTGAATATTTCTTCAGGTTAAACACCAGAGATGGTTTCTTTTTGTAGCTGACCAGACTGACTCGCACATTGCCCTCGTCGATGTTTGCGTCCTTGACAATGTCACGCAGGAACTGCTTGTAGAAAGTGAAGGTGTTCTTCTTTACAGCGGTGGACGTGTGAATCACAAACACCAGGTCTAGGCTGTTGGTGGCTGAAATATGTCAGTGGTTATTTACAACAGCTAGAGGTAACCAATTAGTATCTGACCGAAACACACAAGCAATGTTAACACTATTTCTCCCAATTATAACACTGAGGGTTAAACAGGATATTTTTTAAACTAATACGACTACTATAAGCAGAGTTTATTGAGAACACTAGTATCTAAATCTATACGAGTTGGAAAACATAAACACACAGAGCTGGGAACATCTATATCTAAAATGATGTGGGATCAGAAAGATATTCAAGCAATGTTGTAAACAAATATGGGGAATATAAACAAGTAGAGGTAAGAACATCTACATCTCAGTGTATCAGATTTCGCAAAAACATACTAGAAAGCAATTTCTAAGTTTATGGCTATTTTTTTTTGCTACATGCCATAAGACACTGTATACCTTCATGGTAAAAATTAGAAGAAGAAAATAACCTATACATAAATCTTTAAATAAACAGAGGTGAGAATATTTATATCGTAATCTTTAGAGTAGCAATGTTCAGAATACTTACTACTAAATCTGTATATCTACAGATTGAGAACCCTTAGATCTAATTTTGATCTACATTTACATAAAAATCTTTGTACAAACAGTACCAAGAACACTTATCTCTCAATCGTTATATGAGCAGATTTGAGACCACTTAGATCTAAAACTTTATACAAGCAGTGTTGAGAACACCTAGATCTAGAACTTTTAACAAGCAGAGTTGAGAACACTTAGATCTAATTCCTTATATAAACAGAGTTGAGAATATCTGCATCTACACAAGCAGATTTGAGAATACCTATTTCTAAATCTACGTGCTAGTAGAGCTTAGGATGCATATAAATTAATGTATACCAGCAGAGTTGAGAAAATCTTCATCTAAATCTATTTACTATCAGAGTTGAATGAATACTTTTGTATTAAATGTGGAGACGAGAAACTTCATATCTAAACATGTAGACAGGCATATTTGAGAATACCTATATCTAAATCAATACGCAAACAGAGCTGAGAGCACGCTAATATATAAATCTATACACAGGCCTATTTGAGACCATCTATATCTAAATCTATCTGTCTAAGGCAGTGATTCCCAAACTGTGCACCGGGGGAGCCGCGACCTCTTCACAGGTAGCCTCAGAATATCTGAAGATTTACAAGTTTTATTTTTTTTCATCTCTTACATACGAATAATCATACATTTACTTAGATTAGACCGCTGTGGAAAAATGTTTATTGAAAAAAGGCGCAGCGACTAAGAAACGTTTGGGAAACACTGGTCTAAGGGACTATCTTCAAGCACATTTGATTACCACTAATCTAAACCTGACTACCGGAAATCAGCTGCATGCACTCACTCATATTAGCCCATGTGGCAAATCTGATATGTCAGTTATCATACAGGAATTTGTTTTAAAAAATTGTAATCTGATGTTTCTGAAAGTATTATGTTACACTAGTTATAACAGAATTGTTACTATAAGATTAGTGTTACAATGAGATATATTTATGATGACTTACCAGCCTGATCAGCCAGCAGGTTTTCCACTGAAATAATAATGCAAATGGAATGTAACATGTGTACCCTAGAGTGTTGATCATGGCATGAGAAAACCTACAAGTGGACATTACTAAAGAGATGCTTTGTGGGATTATTTTCACTGCAATGTGTGTTATTCTTCTTCTGCACTTCATCTTCTTCCTCTTTCTCTTACACCTCCATCTGTTCTGCTTTTGCTGCTGTCTTCTTCTTCTTCCTATTCTTCTTCTTCTTTTTCTTCTTCTTCTATATCTTCTTCTTCTTCTTCTTCGTATTTTTTTAAATTCTTATTCTCTGTTTCAGTAAAATAAGTACAGACACTGCATGTCCCAATCCTAAATCACTCTAGCTCTCCTCATCTGTTACTGCTGCTTGTATGCCTTTTCCATATTTATGAGTGTGTTTATTTTTGTACCTATCAAAATAAAAGTCATTGTCAGAAATAAAGAAACAGTAAGAAAGTTGGAATCAAAGGTGGTAAAGTTGAGAGAGTAACATACTCCTTTCTTTCCTGAAAAGTTGAATTGATCAGGATTGATACTGCAGTAAAAGAACTGACATTCCCCTAGAATTATTTGACCTTAGATAGTAGAGGGTGTGTATTGTCACTTTCACGTCACATGGAAGATGAAGGGGGGGGGGAGTAAGAGGAGGAGAGGAGGAAGAAGAAGAAGTACCAGAAGGAGATGAAGAAGAGGGAGGAGCTGGAAAGGTGCTTAAAAATGATGATAATGTCTATATAGTAAGCACTATACACCTTTCCTACAAAACAGCTACACTGTTTTTTTTTTTTAAATTTTATTTTATAAAGTGATAACACCACAACACTCATGGATACATGGACACTTACCACTGATATCAACTTGCACTAAACAAAAAATAAAAACCAAACAAAAAATACCTTTGTTTATGTGATCTCAGTTCAAAGAGCAATCTTACAACGTTTCATGTATGCAAACTTAATATCGAGATCACCTGACTTGCACTAGACAACTCAAGTTAACCAATAGTTCTGGTTTATACCAGAGGTTGAACTAGTCATCACCCTTCAAGCCCAAGTCGAGTCCCCAGCCATTAACCCTAAGTCCCAAGTCAGATCTCAAGTCACCAAGAATGCTTTCAAGTCGAGTTCCAAGCCAAGTCACTTCAGGTTAACAATCATTTACAGTCATGCATGGGACAATGCTTATGGATTATAATAGCTAGTCAGTTATATTACCAAACAACAGCAATGAATTTTCACATTTTTATTTTATTATGTAAAACAAAACAAAAAAAGTAACTGACCCTTTTCCACACCTTTAGGTATATTAGACATATAGGGCTAGATGTATATTTTATAGACCATTTGGCTCAAGATGGGTGATGTGGTCAGCATCACACCAGCCGCCTTTACTTCTTGGGACTGCGTCCTTGTACCCACTCAAGGCTGGGTCGACCTGGCAACCAAGGTCATTTTTGAAAATAGTCTGGTTCCGTCAGGGAGGGAACCCACGACTTTCTAATCTTCCGTCTAGCCGCTTTATCAAAGCGACTCCCCCATTTTATTATATAGTCATAAATATAAAAGTGGAAGAAGTAGAATGTGAATGCTTGATACATTGATACAGAATTTATTCTTTCCTGTTTTATACAAAGATATTTTTAACGTTTTCAGTCATCACAAAAACTTGAGGCTGGTCTTGAAGAACCAGTCGTACTGTCGCCCCAAGTCGTTACAATGTGACTTAAATCAGACTCAAGTTCAAGTCATACGACTCGAGTCCCGACATCTGTTATCTACTACTTCATCATTATCAAGTGTACCTGTCATATGTGCCATTAGTTAGTGTGGTTCCCAAAGAGCCTCTCTCTGAGGCTCCTTTATTAAATACATGTGGCTCACTGGGATTATGATACTAGACTTGTATTTGTATAGACATAGTGGCCTTAGATAAGTGTCAGCATCACGTTGGCCACCTTTACTTCTGAGGACTTGTCCTGGTACCCATTTTAGGTTGGGTTGACCTTGGAGCCAAAGTCATTTTGGAAGAAAAGAATCCACTTAATGCAGATCTGAACCCATGATCATAGGATCAGCAGGTTTCTGGATCTGATGCTATACCATGCACAATGCACACTAAAAGAGGACATGGATTTAAATCCTCAGGCAGACCAGCAACGAGACGAAAAGACAGCATCCGAGACACCCTACAGCAGTACAATATGTATGTGATCTAGGTGACCAGAAGAGTGAAAACCAGAACCCTGTATCTCCCTCGATACCCAAAACGTTATAACAGAAAGCGAAAATGAAAAGTAAGAAAAATATGCTCTTTTATCAATTGGAAACTTACATTTTTTTTTAAACTCTCCCCCCCCCCCCCCCCCCCCCCCCCAAAAAAAGTAGGAAAATGATAAGAGTTTATAGCTAGTTAATCTTTCTTCGTACCATCAACGGCCACGGGAGCAACAGCGATGTCTGATCTAGCTCGGAATTCTGGCACATATTCTTTGGGGACAAGTGGAGTTTCCGACACAGCCTGTAGACCTGTCACTAACTCCATAGGGACAACAGTTGATCCTGACACATCCGGCAGATCTGCTACATATTTCTTTGGAACATCATCATCGCCTATTATAGAAACAAGACAAAAATCATTATTTTTTTATTTTTCTGTATAATTATTAAATTTGCCCATGACTGTTATCAGAATTTGTAAAGTCTATTATATTATATTTTATGATCAAATGCAACCATCCCCAGCTGCTTGTATATCTGGTGTTCCCATAGGGGATGCAATTTTTTGTTTTTTTTAAAGCCCCACCCACACTTCTGCTGGGGGCAACAAATATAGCCGGGGCATAGATTTGGCCTAGCCATGGATATGGCCTAACAGCTGAAAGGGGTTTCTGGGACCTCTCCACGGGTGATCCTCATCCCCATGGTGGTACTTTATG